TTCAATAACCATAAACATGTATTTACACTTTTTTACACAATTTCACAACTATCAAATAATTCATTCTAATTTCACATTTACAAATTACACATCATATTCTTAACATATTTCTAATTTACACAGCATATAAAATCTAACCCTACATCTCACATTTATGAACGGGTTCCCATAAGCTTTTATATTTCTTAATCTACATGCTGAAAACAGCATAAACTCATTCTGTCTTTAATACTTAATTTTCATTAATTTTCTTTTGCCATTAACATAATATACCCAACAAATGTTGCTAAAGGGCTGTGCTTGTGTGTGTAGGTATGTGTATATGCATCTGTGCCCACTTGTAAGTGCATGCATGCGAGTTTGTATGCATGTGTATATGATTGTATGTATCAGTCTGTACATATGCATGTGTGTGCTGAAGTGTGAGTTCACATGCTGTTATATGTATATATATATGTGGATGTGTATATATGCATACTTGTGTGTTTTTATGGTATTTTTGTCTGCATATGAGTGCATATGCTCATGTACATGTACAATTTTGGAGAGAGGATAATACAATGTATTGTTGATGATAGGGTTGAATGCTGCATAACAAAATTCATCACTTAAACCTACCTGCTCCCCTGAATAAGAGGTCATTCATAAATTTCATAAACATCATTCAGAACACATTAACACTTGACAGAAAAAAGGAGATAAAGAAACTACAAAATGCTTGCTATATACAATTCCTGATGTTAACTATACAGTAATTTGTGAAGTATTTCATACGATGCATTTATGATTCCCCAAGAAACTAATGCGCGAGTGTAATTTACATGAGCACCGTTAAAGAGACCCCTGAGACGACTGCCTCTAGCATGATAGACATGCCAGAATGTGGTCCGCATGGACAGGAATGGACCGCCCACCTGCAAGTAGAGCAAATGTAGCAATAAGAACAGTACAGGCATACCATATAACACAGATAAATAACATACAAGTTAACTTTGATTTTGTTATGCAAAAAATTTCATTTTCAGTTAGTGCATTTACTGATGTTACATAGCTAAGTGTACATCTTTTTGATAAACAGAGAGAGAGAATTAGGTAGAAACAAGGAGGACATGGACTGGAGGAGGAAAGGAAGGAGGAAGGCAGGAGGAGGGAAATAAAGAGAGAGAGAGAATGAGGAAGGGAGAAACTATTAATATTACACATGAATAAACTTCAGTTAAATGGCCAATCAACTTACTTGACACTGTTGATGAGCTTTGATGACATTGACCGGGTACATCACAGTGGAGATGAATGCTCCAAGGAAAGCTCCTGACACAAAATCTGTCAGAATGTGTCCCCACCATGAACTTCCAGGATCTGGTAATCGCTCCTTTATCTCCTTCCTCAGGCCAAAGAACAGGACGTTGCTTGGTCCATTCCGCATCAGAATGGAGGACATCCCTCTGTAGTACTCCCTTGCACCAAATTTTCTTAACTCTTGTGCGATGTGTAAGCTATTTCTGTAATTTCAAGCAATATATTTCAGTAGGCAAAAAGCAAACCTTCAATTATTAGCTGCTCAATTAATACTTCAAAATCAATATCTTACAAGTAATTTCTCTATACACCAGTACGTACAATAGTTTATTCAATCAAATAGTAGTAGAAAAAACAGAGAAAGGAAATTTTTAATCTGGATTCCAGATCTAAAACTTAAAACTTTCTAGCTCTAGTTTAAATCAATATTTATCAGATTATAGGACTGATGAAAGGGGAAATTGTCCATGCGTTTCTTGCAACAGATGGAATTTTGTTGACAGAGTTGGAACCTCCATGCAGACTAGCAATTGCGAAGAGCAATGGGCTTAACCATATTAAAAGGTTATCACTAATGCAAAACTATACACTGAAGGTGTCAGCATATCTTGTCGTATCTATAAGTTTATGTGTATATATATATATATATATATATATATATATTATATATATATATATATATATATAATATATATATATATATATATATATATATATATATATATATATATATATATATATATATATATATATATATATATATATATATATATATATATATATATATATATATATATATATATATATATATATATATATATATATATATATATATATATATATATATATATATTATATATATATATATACACACACACACACACACACACACACACACACATATATATGTAGTGTCACTGGATATGCTAATGTTACTGCATCATTCCAGGGAAATAAACAAATCCATTCTACTTACTTATACTTTCCATGGAACTTTTTGTCTTGCAGAACTGTCTGAATTCTTTCAAAAGGACACAAAACTGCCTCGGTACATCCAGCTAATGTGGCTGCTAGTGCTAAGGTTGCTTCTGAAATATTTCACATATGTGTAAATGTAAGAAGATAAAATCAAGTACAACAAATTTTTCCTAAAATATTTTAAAAAATATAATCACAAATAATAAGCCTCTTGGGAATCAAAGTCTCTCTTTTAGCAAAAGCAATGAACATTACAAACTTACTATCTGAAAGATGTGGAAAATAAAACTTCAATAATCTGCTATACTGGTCATACATCCCGAACATGATGGATGTTGACACTGTTTTTTGGCACAAAGGAGGTAAAATTCCTCGGTAAAGATTCTTCAGTCCCTCTCGTTTCAGCTGACTTATTGCATTTGATGTGGATATTCCATGCAGCATCTGGGGAAAGAAAGGAAAAATGATGATAATGCAAAATGTCTTAACTGAGATACATCAGCTTTCCTATCATTAGAAGAAAGACAACAAGAAATAAAACTGAATCAAAAAACCCTATCCCTGCAAAAATTATAAACCATTTTCTTGTACATAACTTCTATAAGCATATCAACTAGAATTTATAGCTCACCTGGCGAAACATTAACTTGTTCATTGGAAATGTGACAGTAACATTAATAAATGCAGCTCCCCATCCACAAATAAACTCTCTTCCATCGTCTGCAACTGGTCCAATCGCTGCTCCTGACTTTTTAGTAGATGCCATTTCAAGTGCTAACGCAGGGGAGCTCGAGGCACTGACCGGCTCACTTACGCTGCTACACGGCTTCTCACCAGTCTTGGGTAGCACTACTCCCAGCGAAGGTGGCAGACTACTATGGTCCTGCCCAACCACACTCATTCCCTGCAATGAAATTATACTTAGCCTGCTTGTTCTAATAAGGAAATGGAAAAGACAAAAAGACAGAAATGGAAGATGAACATGATGAAAATGAATCAAAGAAAAAACAAAAAAGAAAAACAAGAAAAAAGAAGAAAGAAATCCTGCAACAAATATATATAAACATTATAGTAATACTTCAATACCTTTCTAAAATAGTCCAACAATTATACAACCAAAATCAACAATGTTTAAGTCTATCAACCTCTGTAGATGTCAATTACAGTAACACTTACCATAACTATGAGATTTTATAAAAGCCTCATTCAAGTTAAATCACATCACTTGGTATATCTGAAAATAAAAAGATCAGTTACACAAAAAATATAACATTTCTAAAATAAAAAGATTAATTCTTTTGAACAATTTCTAAGCCCTTCAGTATTCTTTAAGATTATGTTTATAACTCTGATCAGCTTAGTAGCCAAAGCCAAAGACAGAAACCAAATGGCACCGGAATCTTCAAACATCAAGATAACAGTCCAGAAAAAATCTTCAGTTGATAGCAGGGCCTATAATGCAAGTACGATGTATAAGACTTTTGTAGTAAAGTTACACACATTATCAGCTGTGATTTATCTTCAACAATCTGAAATTAGAAGAAAACTCTGAAGATCCCTGTTGCATAAGAAAGTACTACTGTGTGGGTCTCTTTATAAAAAATGGAAACCCTGTGATAAGATTATGCTCTTTCCCTTTCAAGGTTAATCTGTAAAATTCAACTGATAATGCAGATACAAGGACTCAATACACATAAAGCAAGGGGTGTTTCCCTCTCTTATGGAAGCACTTCAAATGGGGAAAGGAAAAATGACTTTACAAGACAGAGACTAACATGTACCACTATTTGGTAATTAGGTGAAGAGTGCACACACACACACACACACACACACACACACACACACACACACACACACACACACATACACACACACACACACACACACACACACACACACACACACACACACACACACACACACACACACACACACACACACACACACACACAACACACACACACACATACACACACACACACACACATCAATATAATACATATACATATATATATATATATCATATATATACATATATATACATATCATACATAATATATATAATATATATATATAATATATATATATATATATATATATTATATATATATATATATATATATATCTATCTATCTATCTATATATATATAATAGATAGTAGTATATATATATATAATACATATAACTATATATATATATATATAATATATATATATATATTATATATATATATCTATATATCTATTATCTATATCTATCTATCTATCTATCTATCTATCTATCTATCTATCTATATCTATTATATCTATCTATCTATCTATCTATATCTATCTATCTATCTATATAAATAAATATATATAATATATATATATATATATATATATAAATATATATAAATATATATATATAATATATATATATATATATATATAATATATACTATATATATATATATATATATATATATATATATATATATATATATATATATTATATATATAGTACAGACACAGACACATATACATACATATAATGCACACACACACACACACACACACACACACACACACACACACACACAACACACACACACACACACACACACACATATATATTATATAATATATTATATATATATATATATATATATATATATATATATATATATAATATATACATAATATATATATATATATATATATATATATTATATATATATATAT